AAGTTAGCTGAAGTCAATTGCTAGAATGGAATTATCTGCATTTGCCTCAAGTAAACTTTTTACAGGGGACATTGTCCATTGACTAGATTTCCCTGACTCTAGTATCTGTGTCGTTGTGCCCACTGGCTGAGATGAGTTTATGTGAAGAGCAGAATTTACAGCAAGCTGCTTTATTCACTCTTGCACATTACCTACTGTCAGGCTGAGAGCCCAGGAGTCAGACAGATAGGGAGAGGGTTCATGGTTAGGTAAGAAAGGTGAATTTCCAAGGTGGCCAGCTTCTTCCTCAACCTCCTGACTTAAGACAAAAGCCTGGAAACTTTTGTCTCAGGCCAGCAGGCCCCCTGCTGATGGATTGGCTCAACAAGTTCAAGGCTGGATCAGGACATGTCATACAACAGGGGCAGACCAATCAATCATCCTACCCATCTTCAAACTGACCAACCCTAAATTAAGGGAGGAAAACTCTTCAGAGGCTTTAAAACCCCCAGACCTCCAGGAGAGACTAGGTCTTTTTGGTTTCTCAAGTCTCCCCCTTGCTCACAGAGAGTCTTTTTCTCTGTGTGTCTATTACATGTGTGTGTTTCCTCACCCCCAATAAATGCCTTTACTCCTAATTTTGTCTGTGGTAAGAATTCTCTACTACTGCTTCTTGTGCTTCAGAATTTTCCTACCTTTTAATTCTTTAACTGGTAGAGAAAACAAACCCAGTCAGGAACCCTAGACTGTGGCATCATTTTCAGACTGTATCACTTTGGGGGCTTGTCTGGGATTTCTTTTGTAGACTGTATCAAGGCCTCTGGGATTAGACCTCCAGCCTTTACCTACCTAGTGTCAGGAGGCATCTAGTATTCTGAACAGGAACTCTCTGTCCACTCAAGACAGTCCTATCCAGAGCCCAGAGTAGAAACATTTCAGTTTTCATGCTTGTCTCTTGACAGTGGATGCCACAATTCTGCTCAAAATGTCCCTAGCACTTTTGTGTTGTTCGTATATGGATGATTCCATTCCTGGTTGGCAGGTGAGGGGAAGCAACCTTAAAGCTTGTTTGCTTGCTTTCCTGACTTCCCTTTGGCATTTTCCAATGAGTCATCCTTGGCTGTAAGGACGCTTGGATTCGGGGCATTTGTCTGAGCCAAGGAAGGTGAGCAGGAGCTGGGACTGGGAGGCTATTAAGGGGGTGGCAAAGAAACAAGTGTAAGTGCAACAGTGGAACAAGATGTCTTCCAAGTCAGGATCTGGCCACAGTCCTTGGGGCTCTCCTTTTAGTGTTGAGTTAGGTTGTTTAAGGTCAAGGAATGTTAATAACAATAAAATTTGATGTACTTTATAAAATGCCTTCCATTACAGCAAATAAAAGCAAACATTGTGAAAAAGTGCCCTGCTTGTAAACAGAAGTCAAATAAGATATGCATTTCCAGTGCAAAAATCATCCAGCTTCTTAAAAGAATGAGGCAGATTTGTTTGTGCCGGTAGAGAATGATCTCCAAGGCCTGTTAGTAGTGGAAAAAGTCATACATCAAATCAACACTCAGTAAGAGCTCAAGAGAACAATATTCTCTAGGTTATTGATCTTTCAAAGTGATGTGCATGTTACTCATGCAATTAAAAATAGAGCCAGATGTGCGAAAATGAAATATTTGGTATTGATGCAGAAAGACAAAATTACCCCTGGAGTTGAACTATATATAGCACCTGAACCTAGGTGGGTCTGAGCACCTTTTCAAGTGCTGGGTACTAGTAGTGAATGCTTTTCTGTCTCACATATTCTCTTGCTCTACAGAGGATTTTGATCATCTGTCATTTCATCCATCAACGCATAAATCCCAAGAAGACAGCACAGTCCCACCAGCTGAGCCCCAGGGTCATTCTCTTGCTGGTCCTCATCAACGATGCTTGATAATACATTGCTAAATGATTAGAGATTCAACTAAGAGATTTGTTGCTTTAATCCATCTTGGCAAAGAAAAGCTATGCCCAGAGGCTCTGATAAAGCCAAACATACAAACCTCTGAGTTTATCTGCTATGTGAACTTTTATAGGAAGGAAGAGCCTTAAAATCAAGTGATGGGAGCTTTCTCTTCCAGTTGAGAAGTTTTGCCCTCGATTTTGATGAATACAAATGATTTAAAATACAATTTTTCCTTATCTGTCGTTAGGGACCTAACTGCATCTAGGCTCAAAAAAATCTACACTTAGGACTGAAGTTTAGCTCAGTGGTACAGCCCTTGCATAGGTATCATGAGGCCTTGTGTTCATGCCCAGTACTGTGAAAACCCAAAATCCAAACCAGAATAAGCACTCAAAAGATCCTGTCATGTTTAATAATGACAAACCTAACCCAGTGGGGACAAGTCAGCCTGGCAGTGGCTTTGCCAACCTTGAGTGCTTCCTAGTTCATCCCCTTTGTGAAATTCAGCTCATTCCAACACCCCTTCAAGCCCAGTCTCTACAAAGTGTTCATTGGGATTTCCAGGAGCTTCTCATTCAGGATCAGCCTGATTCTAGGGGGAAACCACTTGAATGGAGAGGGCAACAGTTTGGGTAAGCCTTCCTCCCCATTTTGTATTCTTGGAAGTGGTGTGCTTACAGAAAGCCTTCAATCAGTTATGTTTGGGCTCCGAGTAAATCTGGGTAGGAACTGTGAGGGGAAATTTGATCTGGTCTCGTGATTTTCTGCTTCTCGTGGGTGGAACTTTGAGAACCCCACTATCTAGCTGGGCATTTACAGCAAGTTACTGAGTGTTTCTGTGCCTCGATCGCTTCTCTGTAAAACCAGATCCTTGGCTTTGCTGAGCTTGGAAGGCACAAAGAACTCTGGGATTCAAGACTGCGCAACAACCCAGAGTCCTTCCTCAGAGGAAAGCGCTCATGCTCCTCTTAGTTCTGAGTCAGGCCTGGAATATAAGGATGAAAAAAGCGACGACATAGCTGCTTCTCCTTCAAGAGATCAAAGAAAACAGTGTCAGCCATGAAAAGTAAGGGAGCTGCGGCTGTCCTTCAACAGCTCTCTCAGGACAGGACATTGGAGAGGTGAACTCCTGGAATACAAGGTAGCAGTCAGTGTGTTGATTTTCAGGACAATGTCTCATTCTGAAGGTTCTAGAAACACAATTTATTGGATGGATATTTTAAGCCAGGAAGAATGAGACTAGCAACCACGTTCGATGAATGGTGAATTTGAGGAAGGACAGACATAGAAGGTCAACATAACAAACATAACGTCCTAATTAACACTTCCCTCCAGTACTAACACCCTCCTTTCATTCTTCTTTCATTAAAAAAATAAAAAAAGTCCTGCAAGTGACTTTGAAGATAGAATCTTTTCCTTGAACTATAAAAAGACTTAACTATTTATATTGTTCATAATTTAACACCTCAGTGATGAGAAGCCAGAAACATGTATTTTTACCTCTTACAGGGGCAAAGCTTGTGGCTTTTTTGTTTCAGTGTGAGGAACAGAACATGATAGCCTCATGCATCTAGGCAAATGCTCTATCATTAGCCCACAAATCTCCAGCCCCAAATCTGCATTTTTCTCAGGCTCAATCAAACTTTCCCTCACAGCATTTGAAAGCTTTATCTCAATGACAGTGTCAAGGTCGTGTTTCTGCTAATAACTGGCCTCCTATCTTTCTTTGGACCACACTGATCCATTATGAGGGAAACACTCTTGATTAGCCTTCAGTTTTAGAACACAGTAAGCATGCCATGTGCTAATTATGGCCAGTGACACCATAAAATAAAAGTGCATTACTTAATGCTTTCAATTTCTTATAATGATGGTAAGGTGGCATGTCATGGGGCCATTTTAGCCCCAGACATCACTCCAGAGAATTCCAAACAGATATAGACAAGTGCCACCAAAACCCATCTCCTTTGCCTCGGGCTGTTTATCCACAGGAATAGGATGTCCTGAAGCAACACTTCCCCCAACTGGAGTGCTGATAAGTCCAGTTATCAGAAAGATATTGCTGTGAGTGTGATGCACAGAGCTTGCATTTTCTTGATAGGTTAGTCATATGAAAGCTGGCAAAGAAGGAAAAAGAGCAGCGATGTGGTGCAATACTAACAGACAGCTGTCCCTGGCTTCCCGATAAGTAGGATGACTCGCATTGCTGAGCCGTGTGGTCACTGCCAAAGGAATGGCCCTCTCACATTTCCTCCTGATTCGTATACACTGTGGCCAGCTTGTCATCTCCCTCTTGGGCTTCCCAGACACTGAGTCTGGAATGAAAATTCACCTGCCTCTGAGTTGGCCACTGGTGGGGGCAGGGGTGATACTTGACTTCCCAGGTTGGAAGATTATCTCACCCAGCCCTAACTATATAACCAGCTGGTGTGGAGGGGCTCCGCAGGGCCAACTCCAGGGGTTCATCCACGAGAGAGAAAAACATACAGACTCACTGCCGCCAAGATGATGGTGCTGAGAGTGGAAGAGCTGGTATGTAAGACGTCTTCCTTGCCTGACAAAGCTTGGTTCATCTTGGCTTTTATTCGAAAGCTCAGATGCTCTTTCTTTTTTGGGTGTAATTTAAGGGAAGTCTTCAAATGTCAAGTATGGAACAGGGTTTGTTTATGTGATACACAAGTGAAAGTGGGAAAAAAACCAGAGCTGACAGCAATGTATTTTCTTGTTTATTGTCTTCTCCTTGGGTTTCATTACTATAGTGTGCAATAATGTAGTTACACAACTTGGGGTACAGGTTTTACTGCAAAAGTAAATGTCTGGACACTTTACAACTCAAGGCTCAAATGAAAGAATTGAAAAGTAAGTGGGGGTGTGTTAGAGAATTTCCTAAGAGAAAGTGGGTTGTGTGGCTAAAAGTAAATGCAACCTGATGCGCACCTTGTCTCACTCTGTGCCTCTGACAGTGCCCTGCCTGGATGTGGCAGTCCTCAGGGAGGAAGGGCTGAGGACCTCCTGCAGCATCTTTTGTGGAGAGTGACCCTGGGATGGGCAGCAGTGGTTCTGACCTCACCGTGTCCCTCACATATAGGTAACAGGGAAGAAGAATAGCAGTGGAGCCACAGGAGAATTCCTTCCTGGGGATTTCAGAGATGGAGAATACGAAGCTGCTGTGGCCTTGGAGAAACAGGAGGATTTGAAGACGCTTCCAGTCCACCGTGTGAGCCTGGAGGAGCAACAACAGAGACGTGAGAAGCAGCGAGAGACGGAGGTGAGGACCCATGGAATCTCCTAGTGGGAGGCTGGGGTGTGGAGGTCCTTGAAGAAGAAGAGAAGAGAGAAGGAAAATAAATAAATAAATAAATAACCATTCGAAAGATGTCTCCACCAAATTCTAACCCACAAAGATGCAAAGAAGCAGTATACATGGAAATGGTTTGGGAAATGATTCTTAGATGAGACCATGACCTCTGGATTCTGAATCAATGACTTTCTGAGCTATGGCCATGTTTTGATCAAAAGAGAAAAAGAATCATAACCAGGGAAGCCCCAATGGCACATACTGTTTACTTAATGTTGAACCAGGATTTCTTCTTTTTGATAACATTAGTTATCATAGATCATAGTCAGAATAAGTTTGCTATATTTATTGACATTTATTTTTGTTGAAGTTTTTACTGAAGTTGTTTTAGCTAATATAATAAGATGTGCACTCGTTGGCAGTGATCTCTGTTTCTGAGACTCTGAGTAGTGGGGACCACTTGAGAGAGAATGCATTGATATTTGAGAACTTATGTATTTTCTTTCCTAGGTAAAACATACTTTAGTTTCTGAGAGTAAGAAAACAAATTCCATAGAAATCTGAAGTTTTCTTTCTGCCAGTACTAATTACAAAATGATAACTGAGAGACTCCATTGTACCTCCATCCACTTAGTCAAGAACCAGTTCTACGAGCAAAGAAAGTAAATATGACTCAGATTAAAATTAAACCCCAGATACATAATGGAAAAAAATCACTGAAGTCAGACATTTACTTAAAAGCGTTTTAAATTTCCTTTATGAGAAAACCATTCACATACTTCCCTCAGACTTTACAGGTTTTGTTTATACACCACCACAGTTAGAACTCACCATATTTTTAAACGTCTGATTTCTCTCTCTCTCTCAGCTCAAAAAGAAAAAATTAGAACAAAGATCAAAGCTTGAAAACCTAGAGGACCTTGAAATAATCGTCCAACTGAAGAAAAGAAAAAAGTACAAGAAAACTAAAGTTCCAGTTGTGAAGGAACCGGAACCTGAAATTATTGTAAGGACTGTTTGTTTTCCAGGATTGTACATCCACGTGGGTTCCAGGGCTGAGCGCTGTGGAGGAAGACTGCAAAGCCCGTGACCACTTTCCTTTTCTCTCCTTTTTTCCCTCCTTTCCCACCCTCCTCTGCCTTCTCCTGCTCTCTTTCTCTGTCTCTTCCTCTCCCTCCTCCACCCTCACTTTAGACTGAACCTGTGGATGTGCCGAGGTTTCTGAAAGCTGCTCTGGAGAACAAACTGCCAGTCATAGAGAAATTCCTGTCAGACAAGAACAGCCCTGACGTCTGTGATGAGGTAAGGCTCATGCCTTCCTGTAGGCTGGCCAATACAGTCTGCGATGTCTTCCACCTAAGTTTCCCCCAGCTGTTGCTACATCTGCCAGGAGCATAAACATGAATGTATTCTTCCCTGCCCCCACAACCCCCAAATACTGGATTAGCATAATGGATTTCGAGGCGTTTTTCCTGCTCTCATATAATCCTGTCTGATTTATCTGAAGACATTTTGTCTTTAACTTCTTAGATCCTTCGGATAGACTTCCATAAAGGCAAGGTCAAAAAGTTTCTCCTGGAGAAAGATGTTATTAGCAGTGTCTTTGATCAGACCCAAATAGCTCAGCATTAGAAGGGGAAGATGGAATTCCCAGTCTACCTCTGTCACTACCCGATTTGGAGTAGCTTCCCTGCGCTGTCTTCCTCTCAGCCCGCCTGTAAGCACAGTCTCATTCTGTTAGCCTCATGGCTCCTTACTACAAGGCCAACTTGTCAGAAATCGCAACTTTGTATTGCTTCTCCTGTGCCGTGAGCTGAGAGCACAGCTCCCGCCAAAGCTGAGTTTCCTTTCTTTTAAAAATGGATTGAATGGTTTTTGATATTCAATCTAGCACCAATTCTGCATGGAAGAAAACCATCTGCTGTACTTGGCATGTGCAAATGCAAAAAGGGACAGTTCAGCATTGAGATGGTTTTTGAGGTTTGAAGTCCACATCCTTCTGCCTTGGCCTTTAGCACTTAGGAAGGGTCTAGGACAGGAAGCTCAGGTTAGCTGCCAGATAATTATCCTAATCCTGCAATTTCAGTGAGCTCTGGCATTCTGATTCATAAAAAAAAAAAAAAAAATCCTGGTCCTTCTATCACTTCGGTCATCATAGTCCCAGCTTCACAGCTCTTAAAGGATTATGTGCATTTTTATACACACCACTATCTCTTGTTTTAATCTTTGACAGTATAAACGGACCGCTCTCCATAGAGCATGCCTAGAAGGACACTTGGCAGTTGTGGAGAAGTTAATGGAGGCTGGAGCCCAGATTGAATTCCGTGATATGGTAAATATATTTCTTTGCTTGGAAATGAGCCAAAATAAACAGACTATCTGAAAGCTCAGGAAAACGTACAATGAAAAACCGGCCCAATTGGATTGAAAATTGATCTGAGAAAGCTAGTGAAAAGCTCATTTCTCTGTACAAAGGGAAGCTGGGCGATGAGACTAGGTCATGTGGAAAGTATTTTCCAGACAGACTGAAGAGGAGAGGGGTGGTGCAGGGAAGAGAGGAAGTGAAAGTTGTTGAGCAGAATTCAGTAACCTCACCAGAGAGTGTGGGTCATTATCAAGTCAGTGGCATTCCTGGCCTTTCCACACCACTCCTTCCGTCAGAAAGTGCAGCCTGCTCCTGGCCCCTCAGCTGCCAGCAATGCATGAGAATTTCCTAGCTGCATACTTTATATGATGGATGCCAATTGCCACCGAGGAGATTTGGAGGCAGGCTGCATACTAAATGACTCACGTCTAAGGAAAGAGGCTGCTATTCAGACCCTAACAATCAGCCGCTCTGATTTCCATAAAGACCAGTATGCAATATACTTCAAACCCTCAAGATTGAACTGGAAAATGCTTCATTTGTTTATATGCAGCTCGATTTGACATTATGGTAAAATGGAAAAGGAATAAAAAAAAATCCAAAGAACTTAGCCTGAATTGAATCAAAGGACAAAATATTGAAAAAATTTAAGACATTAATAATAACAAAATTTGGATGAAGAGAGGCCCAAACCAGAGATAAACCAAACAAAGCCTAGAGGTGGCAATCTCTTCTAAGTGCAATGTACAGTGACCACAGTGATTGATAGCTGAGGTTCCTAGGCTGTGCCAGTGTAAAAAAACAGCACAGAGCCAGCAGGCGATGGCCAAAGAAAGACAAGGCTACCTGGGATGAGGTGTTAGATCCAGATTAAGATATTCTGGAATGTGATCAGACTTATTAAAAGTTTCCTGACTACACACACAAATCCAGCCACCCACACACAGGTTAGCTGAGATAGTTAGAAGAACCTCAGAAGTGGTTCTCAAGACCAGGAGCACCTAGAGCTATCCGTTGCCCATATTCTCCCAGCATTTGAAACCAAAGACCAACCCCCATCCCAATAGAAGTCTCCTTCACACTGTCTTGTCTTGTGTTTTTTCTTTCCCAAATAGCTTGAATCCACAGCCATCCACTGGGCATGTCGTGGAGGAAACCCGGATGTCCTGAAACTGTTGTTGAACAAAGGCGCCAAAATCAGTGCCCGAGACAAGGTATTTCCTTGCCCTTCCTCAGGCTTCTGCTCCCTGCCTGCCCACGGGGGTCCTCTGCTAGCTCTCATTCTGTGGACACCTCAGCCACACACACGCCATTTGCACGTGCCCTGAGGCCTTGGACAGTGTCTGTTCTCACTCCTTCCCCGTCTTCGAACTTTTTAGCTGCTCAGCACAGCGCTGCACGTGGCGGTGAGGACTGGTCACTACGAGTGCGCAGAGCACCTCATCGCTTGCGAGGCCGATCTCAATGCCAAGGACCGAGTGAGTAGCTGACAAGGCTGAGTCACCATAAGCGTCTTTAAAATCACCCAGGCAAGCTGGGGTACCCTGGCAGGACCCACTTCCTGGCTTCACACTTACCACACTTGCTTACCCTGCTTCTAGGAAGGAGATACCCCGCTGCACGATGCTGTGAGGCTGAACCGCTATAAGATGATTCGGCTCTTGATGACGTTCGGGGCGGACCTCAACGTCAAGAACTGTGTAAGTACGCAAAGCAAGGGTACCGCTGGTCAGCTTCCTACTTTCCAGAATTTCTCAAATATGTGAAAATATTATTCCCATGGTAGTAACTTTTGAGGCACACTGATGGCTCAGACGTGTCATTTCCATAAGGACAGGTTGAGCCTTGGCAAGGACTCAGGTCACAGGGGCAGTTATAGGGAACTCACATAGAACTGCTCTGACTTTGGAGCCTAAATAGTTCTTTGAAAGACTGGTCTTGAGTAAAAGATGGTCAAAATCGTCACCTTTAAAATACACATTGTGGCACTGGAGAGACGGCTCAGCAGTTAAGAAGAGCACTGGCTGCTCTTCCAGAGGACCTGGGTTCAGTTCCCAGTACCCACATGGTGGCTCACAACCATCTATAATGGGATCTGATGCCCTCTTCTATCATGCAGGCATACATGTGGACAGAGTACTCATATACGTAAAGTACATAAATAAACAAACCTTTAAAAATAAAAATCAAAAGCACATTGGATAATTCTAATCTGCCTTTGGTCATTCCTGGCTGAGTAGAGCTGGGAGTTGGTAGGAATGAATGCACCCAGCTTTCTGGAAATAGCTCCAAATAACACAGAGACTGAAATTAATCAATACCCAACCTGGGGAATTCCAAATAGTCCTGCTTTCCTTACAGCAATACAACATGTTGCCACTCTTCCAGGGATCACCATGCTTTTTCTGATGTTTTTCAAAAAGATAACTACCATTCATTCTCCATTTTATATGCACATGTCTTGAAATAACTTCCTACATTGGGTCCCAAGAATTCCTACCTAAGTATACAAATTAATTTAACTTCATCTGTACATGGGGAATGTAAGCAGCTTACTCTCATGGCTGCAATCCCCAGATGACATAGCTTAAAGAAGATTGGCAGGAGGAACAGTCATAGATCACCAAAGAAATGTTCTTGAGGGTTTTGGAGAACCATATTACAAAAGAGGAAAGGTCTTCTTGAGGCAAATGACCACTTCCTCTTATTGTGTTACCATGAGGCTGAAAAGACAATTAAAAAGGAAGCTGAGTGTGCCCCCCGGTTGCAGCAGCGCTGGACACCCGTGGAAGAGGATCTTAGGTTCAAGGCTAGCTTGGGAGTGTACTCTACATGGAGTGGAGTGTACATGGGAACCTGGCTTAGTGACTGGAAGGAAGAATAATAGATGAGAAGTGGTTAGATGGAGCCTGCTTGGCTTGGGAAATGTTAGCAGTAGGGTCCCCTGTGCTAGGCATTGGGACTGGTGTCACCCCAAAATTTCTCTCTTTGAAAGTGAACCTAAAGTACATTCAAGGAAATCTTCACAGATGCAAAAGATAAGGGCTTATTTGTTTATTTCTTTTTACAAGCTATGCAGGCCTACAAGCAGAAATGAATGGTATGCATATAGTCACCAGAGCCAGGTAGGCCACATAAATGACATCAGTGAGTGGCTACTAGAGTCTGTGCATGTTATTTGATGGTGGCTCTTCTCCAATCCAGTACATTGAGGCACTGTGGAATCAGAAGTCTTTCCTCACTTTTTTTTTTTTAAAGTCATAAATTCACATAGAAAATATCTTGATTCTCGCCCCCCCCCCCTTCTCTCCTTACTTGAGCAAAACCAAGTCTCTGCGTTGATTAGCATATCAAAGCTGCCAGGCTACAACCTCTGGGATCAAGAGTACTCTTGAGCTGAATCTAGACAGAAATACTTGGGACTTCTCATATGTAAAGAGAAAAATTGAGAAGTGCCGTGGTTTTAATATGTGTAAATATCTTGAGACATGTGCATAAGGGAGATCAAATTTGGGACTGAAAAATTATTTATTTACATATCACTAACATCAATTTCAAAGAAAGTAAATTTTATAAGAAGCCCTGGTGAAAATTCTGAGAAGTTGTGAAAAACCTACAGAGCAGTCAGCAGCCAGGCAGCAACTGGCTGGTCACTCATGGCTTGGTGGCAGAATACTTCCCATCAGTCTTTAGATACTGCCTTCTCAGAGTTCTTCTGCAAGGTCCTGGAAACACCTGTATACATTTTTGAATTTCACAATAACCTGAGGCTCTTGTTACTTTAGTACCTAAGGACCAGGGGTTTTTACCAATACCTGGGATAGTTCTGTGGATGGCGGAAGGAGAAGCCAATAAAAATAACATGAAAATCAGTGACCGGATAGTTTGAATAAACAGTAGACCACTCATAGTAAAAAGCATATACTTTGATAATATACCTCATCAACATAGATACAGAGCGTTTGAGCTGACAGATGTCTCCCACCTGGAAGTCAAATTTCCCTTTTCTCTGTGTAGGCTGGGAAGACCCCCATGGATCTGGTACTGCACTGGCAGAATGGAACCAAAGCAATATTCGACAGCCTTAAGGAGAATGGCTACAAAACCTCTCGCATAGCTACATTCTGAGGAAGGAGACTCTCAACAGGAGCTGTTCACAGGCATTTTCGAAGCATTGCCTCCTGGAAGAGCAACACCAGTTATAAAATCCAGCTTTTGTTTGCCAGAGGGTAGAGAGATAGACTTTAAAGACGCTTCAAGAAAGCACTGGGTTATAGGTGCCAAAATTTCCTTTAGTGATGATGCTCACCATCTTTATTTATTTCTATTTATTTATTTATTTCCGAACACTGGTATTCAGGCTTTCACGAGCATTTTGGGGGGAGTAAAACTTAACCTGTATGCAGCATTCAGAATCTTCCCATAGATCTTAAACCCTGTGGGTGAATGATGTCTAATTGCATACGTTTGTCCTCAGTTGCATAGAGCTATTCAAGGCGTTTTTAAATGGCAAGGGGGAATCATTGCAGCCAGTGCTCTTCTGAACTCTTGCTGCTAGTGTTTGAAAGAAGCGACAGAAGGCATGTGGCGTCGGGAAGGGAATGGAAGCAGTTCTGCAGGACAGACACCGGGCCCGCTGTTCACCCATAGGTTTGGTTTGATCGGTTGTTTACCAGGTCACACAAGGTCCCCAGGTGAAGAGACCGTCCTGAGTGTAGGTGCAGGGAGGTGGAGGGAGTGGGCAGGGAGGCCTTGATAAACCGAGTCGATGAAATAAAAGGCAACAGGAAAGACACTGTAAATGTGTAAATGTATATTGTGTTGTATGTCTATTTTATATTCATAATAAATGCGACAAATTCTAAATCCTGTTCTAAGTGCTTTGTCCGTGCAGTGGTGGGAATTTCTCACTTAAGAAGAGTCATTTAGGAAGATGCTTGTTTATCGGGGTTTTCCAACTTTTTCAGATTAGAAACGTCTAGAGATTTGGGAAGATGGCTTGGTGGTTAATAGCCCTTGCTGTTCTTGCAGAGGACCTGAGTTTGGTTCCCAGCACCAAATAATGGCTCACAGCCACCCATAAAGCCAATCCCAGCAGATCTGATACTCTCTTCAGACTTCCACAGGCACCAGGCATGCACATGGTAAACATATGTACATACATGCAGTCAAACACTCATACACATTAAAATAAAATAAATCTAAATTAATAAGAAATGAAGAAGGAGGAGGGGAAGGAAAAAAAAAAGAAATGTCCTGTAGAAACTACAGTCTCAGTACTTAATGCGCTGACGGGTCACCCATGTATTTTGATAAACTGAAGAATTGCCCTCAGCTGGTCTCAGATGGGGCCTGTGAATCTGAATTTCTTACCAGCTCCTGCCTTACCGGGTAGGAGGCTGAGAACTACGATTAAAAAAAAAAAAAAAAAAAAAAAAAAGCTGTTTTTTTTGGCTCCAATGGTGTGGAAAAAGAGACCCCTGGTGGGAAGAATGATTACTGCAGGTTAAACAAGCACTTCTTGAGTGCTCATCAGGGCTTGACTCACTAATTAGGGGCTTATCAATCATTGTACTGTGGACAGGCGCAGAGAGGGTTAAAGGCCTTCCATGAGAGAACCTTCTGGGTCAATGGCTTTTGACCTCCAATGGGAAGTTTTGTTGTCAAATGCTGAGCAAGGAGCTAAAGACCTCTGGTGAGAAACACGATTGTCTGGGCCCCACTGGGACAGAAAAGTATTAAAGTAAGTAGAAATAAATAGATCACATCAGTCCATTTTAGGGCCAATGAAGGGGAACTCTAGAGTGCTCTCTCAGTGTCTAAAATGTGGAGGCCCATATGTGGTGGAGATGGATTTTATGACTTCTTGGAGGCGTCAAACTTGAGGGAGATGCTGAAAGATGAACAGGACTTACTCAAGTCTAGAGTTCTGCAGGCAGCAGAAGAGAGTGGACAAGCTCATGGATGTGGGGAATGCTTGGCACAAAGCTTGTGGAGTAACCAATATGATTTGACTGAAGACCCATGCCATGAAATGGAACCTATTACTTGGGTGGTATTTTATTTGTACTGAAATGTGATTTTAATTGTATGTTAATAAATAAAGTTGCCCAGGGGTGGGGGGGGGTCAGAGCTATTAGAGCCATAGCAAGAGCATGGCGGTGGTGGCGCACGTCTTTAATCCCAGTACTTGGTAGGCAGAGCTAGGTAGATCTGTGTGTTCAGGGATACAGCCAGCATTGGAGACACACGCCTTTAATCTCAATACCAACCATAGAAGATCTGGAAGTCTCTACAGACAGGCAGTGACGGGGCAGTCATGTGTTTGGGTTTACAACCAATGAGAAGGCAGAACAGAAAGACTATATAAAGACAAACACAGAGGAAGTAGGTCTCTTTCGGAGAGGTCTCTTGGCTGAAGAGGCTGGCTGCAGGGTAAGGCTCTTAGCTCTGATCTCTTGGCTCTCTTCTTTGCATTGGTTCTGTGTTTCTTATTTAATAAGACGGTTGGTTACATCTACAACCAAGACTCTGAGAATAGCCCAGGGACCTAGGGTAAAACCAAATACTACTGTTTAACAAAAAGTAACAATAAAATGACTCCTAATGATATTCTGCTCTACTCAAATCATTGCCTTGCTCAACTATCATCAGAGAAGCTTCCTCCTGCAGCAGATGGGATCAAATACAGAGACCCATAGCCAGACATACCTAGAGACCTGGGAGGACTCAGTCCTAAACTTGACGTCTCCATCAAATCCCTCCTCTTAGGCCTCAGGGAACCCTGTGGAAGAGAAGGCAGAAAGAGTGCAGGAGCCAGAGGGAATGGAGGACACCAAGAAAACAAGGCCCTCTAAACACAACTGGACCAACACACACATGAAACGGAGACTGAGGCAGCATGCACAGGGCCTGCATGGGTCTGCACCAGATGGGGTCCTAGAACTAAAAGAAATGAACACATGCCCCCATCTCTAACCCAGAAGCAATCTCTGATTCATAGCCACTTGCAAATGAAAAACTAGTTTTCTCCAAAGGAGTTTCACTGGGGAGATAAACTACTCTTAAGAGTAGACTGTATGCCCAGCAGCAGATGACCAACAGAAAATGAACCCAATGACATCTTTGGAGGTTCCTTGTCTTATAACATCTTTTAGGGCTCTTTCTTTTTTAATTTTTAAAATTTTATGTATACATGAAATTATGAGTATGCAAATGACTGGGTCTCTGTGTCTTTATCTGTTTCTTGTGACTTTTGGACTCTTTTCCTTCTGTAGTTTTATCCTATTCCAATGTGTTAGTTTATTATATTTTATTATTATTCCTTCAAAACCTGTTTGTAGCTGGGCGGTGGTGGTACACGCCTTTAATCCCAGCACTCGGGAGGCAGAGCCAGGCGGATCTTTGTGAGTTTGAGGCCAGCCTGGGCTACAGAGTGAGTTCCAGGAAAGGCACAAAGCTACACAGAGAAACCCTGTCTTGAAAAAACAAAACAAAACAAAAAACCAAACCAAACCAAACAAACAAAAACCCCAAAAACCTGTTTGTATTCTAATGAGAATGAAAGGAGATGAAAGAGGGGAAGAGGGGAGGGCCTGGGAATAGAGGGGAAACCATGATCAGGATATTTTATGTAAAAATCTCTTTCCAATAAAAGAAAAGAAAATATCTAAATTTATTTTGTGTATGGGAACATGGGCACTGTGGGGAGGGGAGGGACAACGTGGTGTACACATGGAGGTCACAGGTCAGCCTTCTGCCTCTAACACGTGGGGCCTGGACCCACATCAGGTCATCAGGACTAGCAGCAGGTGCAGGAGTCTTGATTTCCTTCTTTTTCATGGCTGAATAAAATTCCACTGTATGTCTGTATTAGTTTTCTCATTGCTGCAACAAAGTATCTGTCCAACACAATTTAAGGAAAGAAAGGTTTATTTTAGCTTGCATTTGAAGGTCCATCATGGAGGAGAAGGCATGGCAGCCGGAGCATGAAGCATCCATAGTCAGGAAGCAGGCAGTGATGAATGCCTGTACATGCTAACTTTTATAGATACATATCATAAGTCGTTTTTATGAAGATCTGAGGTTTCAGCCCATGGAATGGCGACACTCAATGAACTAGATTCTCTTAGGCATGTTTCCAGGCTTGTCTCCCAGTTGATTTGAGATCCTGTCAAGTTGATTATCAATGTTAACAATAACAGTGAATGCACCACATTATCCACTCATCTGTTGATGGATGTCTAGGCTGGTTCTTCTTCTTGGTGATTATTGGGGACTATGGGGGCCCAGCCCCTCGATAGTCCCCTCCCAGGGTCTGGGGAGAATCTATAACCAGCTGATAATTAACCTTTGATGAAAAGAAATGAGTCTATGTACACGAAATTCCTTAGTCCATACACTTTATTATTCTGTCAGTTCCCTCTCTACAAGCTTATACTCTGTTCTCATATTTAGCTCCTCTCTTGCCCAATTTCTCTTTACATTTATCTGTTGTCCCCTCTAGGTTCTATCTTTATCTTTTTTTTTTTTTTTTTTTTTTTTTTTTGGTTTTTCAAGACAAGGTTTCTCTGTGTAGCTTTGTGCCTTTCCTGGAACTGGCTTTGGAGACCAGGCTGGCCTCAAACTCAGAGAGATCTGCCTTGCTCTGCCTCCCAAGTGCTGGGATTAAAGGCGTGCACCACCACCACCCGGCTAGGTTCTATCTTAATTTCTTCATCTTAGTTCTCCCCCTACTAAGTTCTCATCCATCTAGTTAGTTCTTTCCCATCTTAGCTCCTCTCCCATCTCCTTTCTCTCTCATCTTGTTCTTCTAGCCCTTCAATCTAGTTCTTCCCCATCTCAGTTTGATCCTCTCAGTTTCTTACCCATCTAGTTCTTCCATTCTCTTTCCTCTTCTCCATCCCCCCGTGTCCTGGGAGTCCTGGTATATATGCACTTACAAGCAGTAATCCCTTGGCAGTGCAAAGCCAGGCTTCCAGGGTCAAACGGAGGGGTGATAAGGATCACATAGACAGGCAGTAATTGTTAATTATCATTTGCAACCCAAAAGGGAAGTGATCAGTGGGGAAATAAATTAACTAAAGGCTAAGTTCAGGTAATATCTAAAAAGAGGGCTCTTATGTGCTCAACTATAATCTTAAATGTGATTAGTAGAAAATGTTAAGAATCTATAAGTTGCTAGGTCAATGGGAGAAAATAAAACTGTCTTCTTTTTTCCTGTGGCTCCTATCTGTCCAAGTTATTTGCCAAGTTTTTCTGCAGGGTGGGGGAAAGTGTGCTCAGTCGCTAGGCAACCTGTGTACAGATAGATGCCTCTGGTGATAGTTAAAGGGAGATCTGGAACTAGAGGTAAGATTTAGGAAAGGAGGAAGTTAAGCTTAACTGGCACATCTGCCAGGCCTTCTCAAACAGGTAGCCTGGATGCTTAAGTCTGTTCTAAGAGAGAGTACAGAGGTATCTCTGATAAGGTACTTCCTCCATCTGGGGATGGACCTGGCCGGATGCTGCCAATGATGATAATTACAGGGAGGCTTGAACTGGGGTTCTGGCTGAGCATAGCTGTTAGCACAGAAGGTTATCTAAATATTCCTAGAAGTGGTTAGATAAGGAGTTAGAGGTCTATCAAGTTAGTAAGGCTGTAAGAAAGGAGGGTCTGAGCTAAACTGTGTAAACTTAACCTGACCTAGGCGGTGTCTCTTTGCGGAATTTACCTTATATCAGGAGACTTTCATGTGGAGTGTTATTACTGCCAGTCCTTGAAAGTGGCTAAAGGAGATATCTGATTCCAGAGAAAGCCTTTCCTGAGGCTGTTCTCCAAATACCTGGAATGTGTATGTCCAGAGAGTGATCAGTCCACACTGTTAGCCCTTCTTAGGGAAAAGTCAATTGGGAAAACTATGAAGGCACACATGATTTTCGTAACAGAATATACAGAATACAGCTGATACATAACAAGCCAGATAACACCAAAAGCTCCTTGGAATTTGGCTTCCTCTGGAGGAATTCCCTGATTCCTTCAGGTAGTGACTTTGCCATAACCAGCTGAGTTCTTATGATAGATTCCTGCGGCCCGCAGCAGGTGATTGTGAACAGTATTCAATGGACAGTCACTGATGTTGGTTTTACAGTCGTCATCAATCACCCTTATCTCCAGTGCTCTTCATCCCCACTCCCCCCCAGTTAACTGCACTATGTCCTGGGGGTTATTTCATCAATACAGCATAAATGCAGATATTTACAAAAATAACAACTTCTACTTAGCCTGGTGAACTTGCTGTTAAAAATAAATTATTCCAAAGCCTTTTTTTTTGGAGTCAAATACTCTGAACTGTACAGCAATTAGGAAAATCACTATTAGGTATGGGGAGTTTCTAACTAAAAGGAGGAAGCTATTTAAAGCACAGCTCGAAGGTAGAAGGTAGCAAATGAAGGGGACAAGTAACCTCATGTGAGTGTCCCTTCTGCTTCTACAAGGTCAGCAGTCCCTAGGAACAACTCTGACTCAATAAAAAGTGACCCCCAGAACAGGGTTTAAGTCTTCAAAATAACTACTTTCTTGGATAGTAAAATACAAAAATCCATATGTATCAAGTAGAAAAACATTAATTTATTTATCTTCAATGTCTTAAAATACTGAAATATCTTACTTTGGTGTACCTACTGTTATACATTACTCACATAAAGGATAAAATAGCTTTTTTTCTTAAAGTATATCTAAATCAATTAAACCGTTAGTCTTTAGAAAATGCCTCACTGGGTTTTATTTGCTGTTTTAATGGACTGAATATAAAGCTGTTTTTATAGACTGATGGTTTCTAGTTTAATGAAAATATCAGCTCAGCAGAAGTTTACTTTCACTGTGACTGATGAGCTGTAAAGGGAGCAGGCAGCTGATGGGAGACTGAGGCTTCATCAACCCTCACACTTAGCTTTCTTGCAAGCTGGAAGAGAATCATCATCCACTTCTGATGGCCGAGGTTTCTTCACTGTAGAAATAATTCCAAAAGCAGTTTTTCTAGTTTCTGTAAAATAGAAATGACATTGAGTGAAGAGATAGGATCTCACTATGTAGCCCAGGCTGGCCTTGAACTCCTTCTACAGTCCAACCAACTCTGATCCTCCTGCTTTAGCCTCCTGAGAGCTGGGATTACTGGCAATGCATCAGCATACCTAGTGTAAGATACAATTTAAGGAGAAGTGGTTTAACCAGCATTGACCCATTTCTTTGGCCTATAGCATAGTAAATAAGAAAACCATAGATAGAGCTCTTACAAGGGTTGATGCTATTTACGATCGTTTTTTTTCCCAACATGCACAAAGAGCAGTATTTTTAACATCTAGTCCATTCCTAAGGATTACCTCTTAGGTTAAACTGCAGAGCAGGGCTTCTCCATTGCTCTCTCCATGACATCTTATGCAGTCAGAACCAGCCATAGGTTCCGGTCTAGCAACTGCTTATATATGGTAAAAAGACGGACAAATCACAAGTGTAGGAGTCACTTGTACTGCTCCCACAGCAAGGGCTCTGCTGACCTCACTTTATAGCACATGCCATCACTCTCAGTAGATAATGTACCTCTGAACACTATGCAGTATTGACCATCAATGGCCTGGTAAACAACATTCATCGAACAAATGCTGTTGAGCAAACACATAAAATCAAACTCAGGTTTATCCATCCTTCATCACTGTCAAAGAGGTACTTTGCATGATCAGGTCAGTTTGGCAGCAGAGTTGAACTTAAATTTAGTTAATCTGTGTTAAAACAGGTTAACAGGGGCTGGAGAGATGGTTCAGCGGTTAAGGGCACTGGCTGTTCTTCTGGAGGTCCTGAGTTCAATTCCCAGCAACCACATGGTGGCTCCCAACCATCCGTAATGAGATCTGGTGCCCTCTTCAGGCCTGCAGACATACATGCAGGCAGAACATTGTATACATAATAAATAAATAAATCTTTAAAAACAAAAAACAAAAAACAACAACAACAACAACAAAAACCCAGGTTAACAGACCAGGCACTGCCATGTAGAGAATACAACGATTCCTAACAGTGGTTTTTAAATGTTCAAACTGTTGGGATAAATACATAAAAATAGACATTAGAAATGAAGGCACACAGGAGATCAACCACCTGGGTTAACCAATGAAGCACCATGAAAAGTGACACCAGAAAGAACACAGCAAGGAAACGGAGGAGCAGTAGCCTTTGCAAGGCAATGTGGGCTCGGCGTCCCTTGTGGGCCTTCCATTTCACACGGGTGGGCACATAAATCATACCTGTGCAGACCACGTGGGAATGGAAGTCCGGGAATCTAAGGAAACTGTCTAAGAGCACAGGGGACTAATGGGGGTACGAGGGGGATATGTACAAAGGGACCAAGTGGGGTTAGTGGAGCAGAATATGAACAAAGAGGACAATGGGAGGCATCCGAGGGACTATGCACAAAGAGGACTAATGGGGGGAATGTGAGCAAAAGGAACTAATAGCCGTGTGTGTGTGTGTGTGTGTGTGTGTGTGTGTGTGTGTGTGTGTGTGTATGTGTGTGTGTGTGTGTGTGTGTGTGTGTGTGTGTGTGTGTTTTAGTGGTGGGTAATGTGCACAAAAAGGACTAACGGGGTGAGAAAAAGGTGGGTAGAGGGGTATGGGGGGAATATGTTCAAAATACATATATTATAGTTACAAAGAAACGGCCCTATGTAACTTAGTATAATGTATTCAAATAAGTAACAAAACAAAACACCTTGGGGGAAAAATATACCCAAAATATATGATCAGTAGATACATGATCATGTCAACCAAAATAAGAAATGAAACATTCTCAGTTATAATAAAAACAAAAGTTACAGACTGACTTTAGATACTTTGATTAAAAAAAACTAAAAGAAATCTGTTTCTGTTTTTCTTCTTAATGGTTTAACATACTGTTTTTGTCACTTTTCTGTTCCTGGTATAAAATACCCTACTAAGAGCAGCTTATTTTTTCCCACTTACTTCAGCCCACACACAGTTCAAGGGCAGAGTGCATCATGGAGGGGAGCTCAGGGAGACAGGGACCGGAAGCAGCTGGCCACATCACACTCACAATCGGGGAGCAGAAGGTTAGGAACACTGGTGCTCGGCTTGCTTCCCCCATTTCTCCCTCCCAGGGAGTGGTCCCATCCACAGTGGGTCTTCTCATACCCATTAACCCAATCTTACATTCTCAGGGTTAACCATAATCTAGATAATCCCTCACGAAAGAGTCTGAAGCTAGGCACTTTTAGATCCTGTTAAACTAACACCACTATTCCCATTTGTTTTTGAAACTCATTATTTTTTAGCAGGAGCAAGCCTATCCAGAGAGAAGCAAGCAGGATGCATGTTAAAAGCCTCTAAAAATGTAGGCAGGGGACACTGTGTTGTTTGAAAGAACACATTCAATGGTCATTCTGGTAATGCAAACTATATATAATGCACACACTATAGAAAGTAAAACTTAAAGTGAGGGTAAGGAGCAGAGTGTATGGTTAGAACGGGTTGAGAAAAGACAGTCTTGTAGGAACTCTGTAGGGAGGATAATGAAGCAGGCACAGGTCAATTGTTTGGTAGTAGCCTGACTCTAACATGACCATTCAGATTTGACTCTAGTAACATGCTCACCTCCATGGAGAAATGCAGCTCGGCAATTTGTGGACACGGCAGCCTTGGCTTCGCTTTCAGACAGCCCAAACAGCAGCCCTCTGATAGGTTATTAAAGATTTCAACCCAGAGTCAGCCAAGAGTATGAGACCACAACAACACCGACGAAATGACAGCTCACCTGGTCTGCGGCAGACACGCTAACTCTACAGCAGTTCTTAGCGCAACCGAAACCTGCATCTGAGAAGTCTCACTTAACTGTTTATCATGTGGAGTCCTTGTTTCTCTTTCCTGCTGCTTAATCCCAAACCACAAGGATGAAGAAGTTTACAGCCTGCTCAAATCTGCTTCTGAGGCTACTGATAGTAAACTTACAACTAAAGGGTAAGAAAACATCAGCCTAAACTCTAATACCACTCCTGATTAAATTTTCTAAGGGAAAATTCCAGTCCAGTGTCATGCTCAGCAGGGAAAGGTGCCTGCTGCCAACTCTGACGGTCTGAGTTTGATGCTCAGGACCCACAAGATGAAGGAAGGAACTGACTCCTGAAAGTTTTTTCTGACTGACACACGCACCCTTCCACCTAATATGAACATAGGCTTTTAAAATGAACATTGAGAGGATACAAGTTTGCCACATCATATGGTCCTCTTATTTCCAAAGGCTAAAATAAGAAAATGGAAAATAAAATGTTAACATTTTAATTATTTACAATAAATAAGATACAACTAAGTATCCAAAGATAGGTAAATTTCATAAGGTTCTTATAATTGTGATAGGTTTCTAAAAATATAAATAAATCATGTAAAGCATTTTTAACAAGGTAAAAGAAAAAATAAAATCACTTTGTTCTAATTAACCCACAAATAAAAATATATATAGGCAAAACCTGAAGCCCACATGAATGGGATACATTTTAGCAATGACTATGGAAAATGCAGTTAAAGCACAGACAGGCAATACATTAATTACACTGCTATTTCAGTAACTACAAAGACAAATACCACATGCCATACTTACCCTCTCTGCAGCACTGGACAGAATTACATTCTATAAAACAGAAAGTGAGCAACTTTAATCCTATAACTGATAAAATAATTGAAGAATTGTATAATACGAATGACCAGCAACCACCCCCCACCCCCAACATTTAAGGCTCAAACACCAACTTCTTTTTTTTTTGGTTTTTTGAGACAGGGTTTCTCTGTGTAGCTTTGTGCCTTTCCTGGGACTCACTTGGTAGTCCACGCTGGCCTCGAACTCACAGAGATCTGTCTGGCTCTGCCTCCCGAGTGCTAGGATTAAAGGCATACGCCACCACTGCCCGGCCCAACTTCTTTTAAAGATAAGGTAAATACTTAACGTGAAAATATTGAAAATGCTCATGTCACACTCAAGGCAGCTAATTCAAAGAGCAGAATAAGCCTCGAAAAGGAATCTTAGCGCAGATAAATGAAGTTTAAAAGCTGTAAGTTTAATTCACTCAGAGATAAACAACTGTTATCTATCTAGGAGTCTTTTCACTGTGGCCAACTGCAAACCCTCATCAAAAATGACGGCTTTCGGCACAGCTTTTCCCTCCATACCTTACCTCTCCCTCGGGAGTTTTCATCACAAAACTCCGTAGGACTCACTGAAATGGAGGAATCTAGTGTCGTAGAATTTTCTGCTTAAGGCTACGGGAGAGTTGACAGCACCCACACATTACAGGAGAGTTGACAGCACCCGCACATGACTAGTGACCGCCAGAGGTAAAAAGTGTCCTTGGCTCCGGAACTATACCTTTCCTCTGCAGATCTGCATCAAGTTGAGGGCATTGGAAATTGTATACCTTCTCATCGTCGCGTCTCTGATAGCAGGGCCGTAGACAAGTTCAAAGCCCAGACCTCTGTCAATTGCCTTCACCAGAGATAGAGAAGAGACACCGTGAACTGTCAAAGACAAGCACACGAACGACTTCCTTTCCACTGAAGTCTCTCCACCTTCCTCCTTCCCCTCTGTACACACCTCCTACAGAGCAAGGGACTGGCTTCAACAAAGGTGGCGGACCCACACCTCTGCACCCATCCCAAGTGAGGAAAACAGACTCGAGGCTCTACCTGATTGACAGGGCTTAGGTTAGCCGTGGGAAGCTAACTCTAAAAACAGGAATCAAAGAAGCTGAGGACAGCAAAGCCAGTTCAGTGCAGTGGCGCAGAGGGCCACTGCTCCAGCAGTGGTCCAAGGAAACGGATGTGCTTCCCATGTGCAGGGAAACTGAGTCAACAGGGAGCTAAGCAACCTGACCCAAGAACGAAGGAAAAGGAGGAACAGATCTGAAGGGTCTGGGGAGCGGGAACAGGAAACCTTACAGCTAAGTCATTTACTGCACACTGTTGAATGACAGAACAAGTGCCATGACTAACTGAACTCTACGTCCAAGGAGCATGCTAACCGAGGCTGAGGTACCTGGAAAAGAACTGCGGCTGAGACTCGAATACATGTCCTCAGCCCATTCTGTTTAAGTAACGTTGTTTAAAGTTCTTTGTAGCTCCGGAGAAAAGGTGAAAGAGGTCTGGGCCCTTCAGGATCTTGCCCAGCTTGCCACATGGGCTTGGTCTTTTCATGAGGAAAAAAGTTCTTTCTCATTTAGTGTACTCTTAAGGTTGGAAAGTCTGCAAAGCATGGGAGTGGGACTGTAGTTCACCAGTACGTGATTCAGCTTCCTAGGTTAAAGGGTGCAGTGCCTGTCCATTCATAACAGATACGTTTTAAATTATTGTCAAATACTGTCAAAGCTGAGGCCTTCTCTGAGCTCTGGTACATGTGAGCAAGGGGAGTGTGAGGAAGAGAAATTTAGCAACTGCATGGTGGATGGAAGAGCACTTTCAGAGGGCAGAAGAACACCAACTGCATGGTGGATGGAAGAGCACTTTCAGAGGGCAGAAGAACACCATCAGGCTCTGGGCTTGGAGCATGCAGAGAAGGCCAGAGGCTGGGGAAGGGGAGCAGGAGTCCTGTGGTGGGAACTAAGGCTACAAGGAGTGGGAAGGGCCAGTGTGTAGATCTTAATTGCTGGTGACAAGGCTTAATCAGTCTTGCCAGCAAGAGGAAACACGTGAGGGTTTTTTTTTTTTTTTTTTACCCTGGAGGTAGGAATCAGAAACTTGCCAAAGTCATGGAGGTTATGGTGACCCTCTGAAGCAGAGGGAGGTGGATGGCTTAGTCCAGGAAGGACAGTCTCAGTCTCTGCAGCTGAGGCTCCACAGGCCTCACTACCCAGGGTCCCTGGGAGTGGAGGGACTGATCTCACAGACCCGAAGTCATCGACAGGTAGGCACTGATGGCTCCTTCTGTCCTTTCTTGAAAGATTTCCTTGTCCATGTCCCGCCCCCACCTCCTTTCTTTCCTTTTGCCTTCTGACCTTAAAGCTAGCTGCGTTTAGATTTTCCTCTGTCTCTAACTTTAGCTGGAATTTAAACACTACTTTCCCCTCTTTGGACATCCTTTTTCCCATCTCTAGTTCTCTGGCTTGTATTCCTTCTAGGAATGGCATTTGCTGCCATAATGTTGGCAGTGTAATTCAACAAACACCTCATTTCCCTGCCTAGCTTTTCGACTTCTTACATCTGGTACAACTCCTCTTCCTAACTGAAATCATCATCAGCATCATCATCATCATCATCATCAGCAGCAGCAGCAGCAACAGCAAGTATATTTTGAGTGAATGACTGCTTGTGGAAAAGAGGCCACGTGACAATGTTGTTCACTGTGGATTATCTAGGAACTGGGATGAACTTGGTAAGGAAATTCAGATAAATGAAAGCATCCCTTTGGCCACTTCAAGTTACTCCTCAGCTATTTCTTTTGCTAAAGCTAACTGGACAAAGGAGTCTGACTCCCATTTCCCCACCCTTCTAGTTAGTTACAGAAGTAAACCACAGGGCAGTAGGATGAAGACAGGAATAAAGGATGTGAGCAATGTGGTGTTGATGATCTGATCCCTAAGTGTTTCTAGTTGAGTCCATTTAAATTTCCACACCTGTATGGGAATCACAACAAAATCAAAACCCCTCTGAGGGAGAGAACTGAGGAAAACAGGACAGAATTGCCAGCTTAATTTCTTTCACATATGATTCTGGTCTTGGTACATTAATCAGGTTCACTTTAAAACTGCTAAGAACACTCGAGAGAGAGATTAAAGATAATGTGCTATTGACGGCTGTGAGCATTTCTTTCATAAAACTTTACTGTTTTAGATGAATAAAATACAGTCATTACCTGGTCTCCTGCTCCTAAGAGCATTTTTATGTAAATTGTTGTAAGCGCATCATATGATTGTTCATAATAATGTCTTTACAGAGAATGACAGTGTCTGCCTGATTGGCTTTTGTTCTCATGTCTGAACAGAAGTGCCTGAATAGGCAGATGATGAGATTTTTTTTTTTCTTACTAAGAAGAAATAATAGTCACAATGATGTCACCAAGGGCAGCCTGTGAAACTTGGGTCAGGAAATAATGGTAATAAAGTTCCAAGCACTAAAAACTTAAGCTAAGTTTTGGAGAAGAAAGAATGGAAACCAAGAGTTGATTCCAGGGCAGCATTCTGATTGCTTGCCTTAAGAATCAGTGCCCACGCTGAACTTGCAGTAGACAGCCTTCCAGCATATCACTGTTAAGATCTCCTGACTCATTGATCAAAGCCACAGAAGGAACCAGCAAGTTCTCCCTGAACCTGCTCTCACTGCCCTACCCCCTGCTGTAATTGCTTTCATTTATTTCTTATGTGTTCCTCCAGTTTCCTCACACAAATACGGGCAACTGTGAATACACGTCATAGTTTCCTTTTTCTTACCTAGAAGGTGGCTTGTTAAGTTCTTATCTTGCCGGATTTGAAAGCTTTCCCATGTCAGCTTGTAAATTTTCTTTTCTTTTACAGCTGCCTAGCATTTCTTGTAGGGGTACACCAGGTACAATGTTTAGCAAGCCTTTACTAATAGATGTGGGCTGTTTCAAATTATCAGCAGGATAAACACTAGGGTGGGACAGCTGGATACTGTGAGCGGAATTGTGTCCCCATCCAAAAAAGATTCCTAACCCGTAGTATCTCAGATCTCAGACTGTAACCTTTTTTGGGGAGAGTCAGTACAGGTGTAACCAAGATGTGGAGGTCATACTGAAAAAAGTAGGCTCCTAATCTCACTGGTGTTCTTATGAGATGACCGGAGACTCACAGGAAAACACACTGATGACAAAGAATGGCGTTACTGTGGCTGCAAAGCACCCATTGTCAACAAGTCACCACCAGCCAGGAAGACTCAATGGAAGGCTCCCTTCATAGGTTTTGGAGGGAGTATAGCCTGCTCATACCTTGATTTCAGACTTGCAGCCATGTTGTATTTGGAATATATAAATGTCTCTCCCAAGTCCACATGTTTGACACTTGGTCCCCAGATGGTGGTACTGTTTTGTGAGGCTGTGGAACCTTTAGGAGGTGGAACTCTGCTAGAGGAAGTGGGTCACTGAGGTTTTATAGACTATCCTGCTTCCTGTTCTGCATTTCCACATAAGATGCCGCAGCTGCACTGCGGCCTCACCTTCCCAGTACAGTGATGGACTGTATCCCCACAAACTGGCAGACACAAACCCTTTCTCCAGTACATTGCTTTTGTTACATTTCAGCATTGAAAGTAACTGATACAAACCTCAAGGAAGGAGCAAATGTCTTCTGTGGTATGTGACTGGGAAGAATGTCAGGACCCTGTCCTCGTCCTCTCTTTCTCTCAAACTTCTGGCTATCATAAAGTGAGAGTTGTTTTATTACATTTTCAATGTGTGTATGGTGGGCGTGCACTGACTCTCACCACGATGCACTGACTGTCCTGCTGCACACACCTCACAGTACAATTTTCCCCCCACAAAAACATGGGCACTTGTTTCTAGTTTTCTCTTTCATGAAAATAAGTGAATAAATTAACAGGGACTTTCCTGCTTCCTGGTCAGCTCACACTGCAGTCTTACACACCAGATGAAGACCACATGTAATCCAGTGCAGCCTTTCCATCCACACCTCCATCTAGCTTTTATTAAACAACGTATGCAAAATGCTCATACCGGAGGTTTTCTTTTCTTTCTTTCTTTCTTTCTTTTTTTTTTTTTTTTATGAAATAGACACTGTGTTAAATATTGCGTATACCACTTACTTGTCAATTTTTTTTTTTTTACTTTTCAGATTTTCTAAAGTGAAAATGTGAAAATCATGTGAGAAATATCAAACACTCAGCAGCAACCTTTCTGCACTTCCAGACGGAACTGGCAGATGGTGGTGTCCTGGTGCCTGCCTTGCGAGCCATTCTCCTAATGCCACCCTAGTACCCATCCACTTCTCTCATGCCTATGTTCCTGTCCGACACTGCAACTACCTAATGACTAATCATAAGCACCTTGGCCAGATTCCCCACATTAGCTCACTGCTAATTTAACTTAGATACACCAATTCAACAGTCTACTTCAGGAAGGTCTCGTAGGCTGGCAATGGGGTATTGGAAAAGCCTTGCCACAGTTGATGTACTATGGAAGCTGAGAGGTTGCTTTTATGGTAATGCACGCTCACAAGAGACTCACTTATAAACTCTCACTAACATATGTCTCTAGGAATCTAACAATCGTCATGTGCCATGAGGAATTATATGGTATGTGTTGCTCCTTTCCATATTTAGACCACATGTCACCATTTCCTCCCAGCCAAGAACACAGAACTGTGCATAAGCTTATTCAGGCAAATTGCCTAGAAAATAGGCTTCCTAGTTTATTAAGCTGAAAATGTCGTTAAATGTAACAAAAAATATATACATTGGCTGCACTGTCTAATTCTAGCTATTTCGTGGGATGCATTGGCAAGAAGATGCAAACTTGTATGGCAGAGATTGCTTTTTCAACACAAAAAATGAATACAGGAGGTCAACAAGATGACCATAAACTTAGGTCCTTTATACCTAACAGTATCTAGGTACCAAGCGCTTGGGAGGTGTTCCCATGTGTGAACCACACAGGTCTTACCCGACAGGCACAATCAGACCTGTCGGAAGCCTGGACTGAAGCCGATGACTTGACAGCCTTCATTCCTCATTTTTGAGAAGTGAGCTGCTGAATAACAGATCCCTAAGTCTGAGGTGTGATGCCTGGGGTTGAGGATGTTCACTTCATCATCTAGGAGTGCCCCACCGTCAGAGTTGGGGCTCAGCTTCTGCAGCACACTCAGGAGAGCTCTTCCATAGTTTCCCACACACTTTTGTACTTTTCAAAAACCATCTTAGTAGTAGATGTCTAGGGTTAGAACCTGAGTCATCTTACATTTTTCTACACCATACATTAGATAATTTACTCCCTCACTATTGCCCCAATACCCAGGAACAAGCAGAAATTCTTCAGGCGAAAAAGGGAGACAAAAGTGAGGAAGATATAATTCTACAAAGGGAACTGTCCACTTTGAAAACAATATTTGAATTCTGACATGGGATTTGGACTGCTTGCTAAACCTTTTCTTGAGTAATAGTTTTTCATAACATAACTGAGTTCTGGAAGTCACTATGCTAAACCATATTCCCATGTTCTGGCTGGCAAAGCAAATAGTTACCAGCTGCAGTGACCTCATAACTACCAAATCAGTTGCTGGTGTGAGGTAATACTCCATTCTATAATGGCAACGGGGGTGGGGGGTAGGTGGAGTGGGGTGTGAGACTTAGAAGGCAATATGGCAGATGGAAGATGAAAGGTATAGGAAAAGAGAAATTCTTATGGTAGGGTAATGAGAAAAAGTCTCTATTAAGAGGGAAAATAAAAGGAACTCTGAACACATGGTTGCCCTGCTGTAATGGTTCTTTATGGGAGCTAGCATGCCACAGTGCATACTGTAATTACACTCACCATTCCCTGCTGACTTCACACAACTGCCTTTTGTATCTCAATTTTCGGGTGTCTCAAGGACTCTATCTTTTTTTACTTTTTCTCTATTTCATTCGTTTGTTTGTTTTTTTAAACAGAGTTTCTCTGTGTAACCCTGGCTGTCCTGGAACTCGTTCTGTAGACCAGGCTGGCCTCAAACTCACAGAGATCCACCTGCCTCTGCCTCCCTAGTGCTGGGATTAAAGGTATGCGCCACTACTACCTGGCTGTTTTTTTTTTAACCTTTTCTTTTCCATCTTAATGCAATGTTGAAGTTTTAAATATCTATCATTATTAAATATCAACTTGAGAAATAGTCTTCATAAAACTTTTTTGGGGCGGGGCAAGGTCTCAGTGTGTTACTGTTGGTCTTGAACTTCCGGCTCAAGTGCCTCTTGAGTAGTCGGAAGTAGCAATACAATCAGCTTAGATATTTCCCTTTCGTGTGTGTGTGTGTGTGTGTGTGTGTGTGTGTGTGTGTGTGTGTGTGTGTGTGTTCGCATATGTTTATGTGCGCATGAACAGTGTGTGTGGAGGCCAGGGGTAGACACTGGGTGTCGGACCTCACACTCGAACCCAAAGCTGGCTGATTCAGTTTGTCTAGCTATCAGATTGTTTCTGTCTCAGTTTCCCCCATGCTGAGATTCTAAGCAGGTTGACATGCTGCCTGGCTGGCTTTAGTGTGGATGCTGGGGATCCAAACTCCTTGCCTCACGATTGCACAGCAAAGACTTTATCACTGAGCCACCCCGTAGCTCCCAGCTTAGACACTCTATTTTTAACTTTCTCTTTTAGTCAGCTTAGAAAACCAAAATTCTCTTTTCTGAATCTGCTCCAATTACCAGTTACCCAGGCACTGGTCTCTAGGAACACAAGTTCCTCCTGCTACTTTCTAGTCTGCAGACACAAGTTTCTACATATTCAAGTTTAGAGGAGAAAAAACAGCACTTACCACATTAATAGGGGGTCTTTTGAAGTAAAATGGTAATTTCTCTGTTACAGTTATACAGACTAAATCCACATCTAAATGCGTGCAAGCAACCTGTCAACAAGAAAAAACAGATGAACAGAAAATTGGCATGCAATGGAATGAGAAACATGGTCATACTCAATATACAGAAACATAAATAGTATGGCTTATTCCATAGGTGCCATGATGGTTCTGTGTTGAACTGTAACAAACCTATTAGAAGGCCAGTTGTTTACTATTCTTTCAGGCTTGGCTTGGATGGTTCAATTCTCAAAGGCCAGGGCCCGAAGGCCCTCTAACTCAGTTTTTTTATATATATTTTTTTTTTATATATGAATGAGTTGGCAAGTTAGGGTCAGTATCTAGAATATTACTTTTAATTATTTCAGAAAGCAGAAAGTAACCGTTCTGACAGAATCCAAGGAATTGGAAAGCCAAAATGAATGCATGCATGGTCCATCTTTTCCACAAGCTATTTAGTGAGCACATTTCTACCAGGAATTGTCCAGGGTTCTAGTTCCAGCCAGACTATACTGTGACTAAGAAACAGCATGATATGGCTGATGGCCTTCTGTTCATAGACTAAGAGAAACAATTTAACAGAGGGTTAAAGCAGAGCTGAGAGAAATTAAAGGAGAGTGCGTTTTTATCATTGCTGGTTGATTAATTCCCTGCACTCACCGCTAAGAGTTTTGAAATAGATAAAGCAACCAGGAGAAACAGAAAAATTAGGGAGGAAAGCAAATCAGTGGACAGATTATAGAGCGCAAGTCAGAAGACAGTGCCTGGACAGGCCTGGACAACAATCATTCAGCTACTACTTGATTCAGAGGTAAAAAGATGGACTGTTTTGTACCTTGTTGAAAACAGCCCTGCTGGGGCTGGGGAGATGCCTGGCAGTTAAGAACATTTATTTGTTGCTTCTTCAGAGGACCTGGGTTCAGTTCTCAGAACCTACATGATGGTTCACAACCATCTGTAATCCAGTTTCAAGGGATCCAACACCCTCTTCTGTCCTCTGTGCACATCAGGCAAACATGTGGCACACATACATGCATGCAGGCAAATACTCACAGACAAGAAAAAGCAGATGAGAAAACCACCCCTACTTAGAATGCTGATGCATACAGGCTTCATGAGCAAACCTGGTAAGCCAGTGTCTGCAGCAACAGGAGAAAGTGTATAAGAAACAAGGGGCCGGGCGGTGGTGGCGCACGCCTTTAATCCCAGCACTCGGGAGGCAGAGCCAGGCGGATCTCTGTGAGTTCGAGGCCAGCCTGGGCTACCAAGTGAGTTCCAGGAAAGGCGCAAAGCTACACAGAGAAACCCTGTCTCGAAAAACCAAAAAAAAAAAAAAAGAAACAAGGGGAAACTAAGTGTTGGTAATGCGTGTAGGACAGGCACAGCTCTTCAGCAGTGACATGTCACATCTCACCCATTTTCCTCAGAATGCCAGCTTAGGTCATTCTTGCCCTAGCCCCATGGCTCAGTGGTCACCCGAGACCACCTGGCTTGGAGATGGTCATAGTTACACGGTAAGCCTGGGAAACTATGTTGTTTTGGCAGAAGCACTTGGCTCCTAAAGAACCTGCCCATCCAACTGCTCCAGCTGTCTACCTCACAAAGAACAGAGACTGTTAAGAATGAAGAAAAGCTCTGCGGAGGAACAGAGCTGAGTTCAGCATCTGTCCAGTTTTAGGAGCACAGTAAAGAGCATGATGGCAAGACCACCAACATTTTACTTCATTGCTGCTGAGGACCAGACCAGGGTCTTGAGAATGCCAAATGCTCTACTGCCGAGCCACAGCTCCAGTAAACATTAATAATTCCTATGTTCGTACCAGCACTATCACTTATAGACATATTTTATAGGGACTTTATTATATTCTATAGCTATAAATTCCACACAGGTCAAGGACAATAGTGCGAGAACAGTCATTGCCAGGCCAATCACCAAGAGAGGACAGAAGAAAAATACTTCTATTTCACTTAATTACCGTCCCCTGGGTCTCGTACAGGTGGGAATGTGCCAGTGTTTTAAAGGACGAGGAACACTTGTAATCATGGAACTCACATACTGTACGATACAAAGAGCACGGGGACAACAAGGACAGAGGGAGAGACAGGGGACAATGAGTCAAAGAAGCAGGCAAGCATTTCTGAAAAAACACCACAGAATGCTTGCGGTGGTTGCCTCTGGAGTGAACAAGCAAGGAGTTTCGTGGGGAGGCATTTCTGAGGAGATGCACAGGAAAGTCAGTATTGGCTGCCTCTGGAGAAACTTCAACATGCTTTTTACACATACACTTCTGTGGTGGTTGAATTTATTATCATGAACATCATTAGTTTTAATGAAAAGATGGCTTTAAATGACTCCCCTGATAAAGCTGAACTGGGTTTCTTCTCATCATACATTTTTTGTTTCTTCCTCTCTCCTATGGGGGAGGCAGTTGAACAAGGAATCGGCATTGGCCAAAGGGTAGCATCGTAAGTAAGGAACTTTCAGCCACAGAGGACAGCTTCCTTTGGCTCCTCTGACCTCTTGAATGTAAAATGTTCCTAACCAAAGTACTCTGATTTACCTTCCCGTCAATCTAAGCATTCAACTGTCATTCAAAGAACTATGTGAAGCGGGGGCACACGCCCACACTCCCAGCACTGGGGAGGCTCAATCTAATACTCCCCCAAATCACTAAAATGACTGAATTATGTTTAAAATAGTTTTAGAGCTAAGTATCTCAGCTCTCTCTGAAAATTGGCAGACTGTATATGAATTTACTTAGCCATCTTTAACTTTTTTTTGGAGGGGCAGAGATATCTATGATGGTTTGAGAGAAGTTTGTCCCTATAAAAATGTACAATCATATGCATATTTTTACTGTTGTGGAACATAAGGCACAGGAGGGTAGGGCTCAGCCATCCCTTTGCCCTGGAGGTCTTTCATTGATACCCGCGCTTATCATACCACACAAGAAAAAGTCAGGCTTGCCAAGGCAGAGAGGTGTTCATAAACAGTAGCTCTCAACTGTACATGTGCACAAAATTCACCTAAAAACTATCACAAATGGCTGGCTAGGCTATATTTCCAGGGATTCATTCAGTACATAAGACCTAATAATCTGTAACTTAGTCCCAGATAAATCTGAAGCTGAAAGACACAGACCATTATCTTGAGAGATGCTGACATTCTACAACAGCATCCTGCAAAGGCCAGGTTTGAAAGACTTCAGGAGTAGTACAAAACCACAACTTTTTAACGCTACTTCTCTGCTGGTGTGGTCGATGTCCTGGATCTCACTTTGTAAACAAGCTGGCCTCAGATACAGAGATCCACCTGCCTCTGTCTCTGAAGCACTGGTAATGGAATGCTGGTAGTAAAGGCCTGTGCCACCACACCTGGTCCACAGGTCTTTGATGATTAAGTACTTGCTTCTACTCATTCCTTAATCTATAACAAAATACTTGAGAATTAGTATCATCTTTCATTTCATAAAAGAAGCCACAAAAACCAGGGTAGTGTGGTGTGTCTATGTGTTCACACACAGGCATCTCAGATAATGTGTGGTTCTGTGGTGTTTCTATCAACATAATTAGCAATTGACGCTAAACCCTGAGATACTGCATCAGTCTCCTTAGTCAATGGCTCCCTCTACTGGATAAACTTGGGATAAAAAGAGCTGTCTATAGTTTTAGGACAAATTTTGCTTAAAAAAAATGGTCAGCCCTGAAAACATACATACAAGTAACATTATATGGAATCAATAGGTTATATTTAGGAATATATATGTATATACAAATACATATATGTATGCAATAGAAATTAATTTGAAAGAGAGTGGGGAGGGGTATACAGAAGGTTTTGGAGGGAGAAGGGAAGAGAAAAACCTAATTAAATCACAATCTCAAAAATAAATAACAACAAAAGAAAATACCACAGTTAAAAAAAAGGGGCTGTAAAGTTTAAAAATGTAAGACCAGTATTTTTTTCCTTCAATACTGTTTTGGCAGAGGGATCTTTTTTGAGGCTAAGTTAGGAAAACATTCATAACTCCATCTAAAAGTAATTATACCTCATTTTTCTCAGTATTTCTTAAAAAACCATTCCTTAAAAGAACATTTCAGTGTCCCCCCACCACTGCAATCATTTGAAAGAACAGGGCAGTTTATCTTGAAGACAAAATGAGCCCATGTGCTAAGGTCCTTCTTTTCTGAAAAAGCAACAGGTCAATTCTAAAAGAACAAAAGGAATTCAAGTCCCAAAGGCTCAGGAAAGGGAAGGGGAATCACATTAGTACATGGAGGAGTTCCCTGAGAGCGTCTGGAGGACCAAGGGCTGACACGCACACTGGCACACGGGTTACACCTCAGAGCTTGCGAAGGGGGAAGCTGGACCACAGAGGGGCTTGCCCTTTTCTTCTCTCACAGGCAGGAGGAGATTAAGCCCAAAACTGAAGTGGTTACTGAGTAGAAAGGAATGAATTTACCAAGGAGACATTTCAAATGAACAAAGTGTCGAGAAAGAAACAGGAGAAAAGTCATGAGCTCTTTCACACTGAACCCATCAAATGTCTACTAGGATGACTTTGGGTGCAAACCGAAAATACAGTTTCCAGATGAGGCCTGTGATGGTTAGCTTTAATTGTAACCTTTACACAACCTACAATCACTTGGTGGTGTGGGATAGTTTGATCACATCCTGACACTCCCAAGACTGACAAAGTTTACTTTGAATCAGGGGGTGGAGCTAGCTACTAGCTAACAAAAATTAACTATAGAGAGTTTGGAGGACCAAGGACATATAGAGAGACATAGGAAGTAGTAGGGTGGGGCTTAGAGTCTTAGCCCTTTTGGATTGAGGAAGCACAGAGAGAGGAGGTCACTGTTCAATTCTCTGCTGCTTCTCTGATCATTCAGGTTCTTACCCTGATATCAGACTCCCGAGTTTTTATTGATAAAGAATAATTAGATAAACTCTTTAACCTGGGAAGACAGTCTCAATGAGGGACTATCTACATTGAGTTGGTCATGGATTGTGTCTATGAGGAATTATTTTAATTAAGACAATGTGGGAAGACCCAGCCCACTGTGGGCAGCATCACTCCCCAGGCAGGTGGTAGTGTGGTGATGGTAGTGTCTTGGATGTTGAAGAATGGAGAAATCGAGCTGAGTTCAAGCAACCAGGTGCACATATGTGCATTCCTCTCTGCTTTGGACTGTAGACATCTATCAGCAGCTGTTTGAAATTCCTGCTTTGCTTCTCCATAATGACAAACAGTAACTAGTCCTTTTTCCCTGTGGCTTTTTGTCCAGTTATTTGATCCCAGCAACAGAAATGAAACTAGAATTGAGAGGAACAGGGCATCTACTGTGGTAGAACAACAGACTTACACCATGAGAAACCATTATTCTCTTTCACCTGTCACTTACATGAAAAAGTTTTTCTGTCTTTGGAAACACTGCAACAATATCGTACAGCCGGACCCTTGAAGAAGTTGCTCTCTATAAGACAAAATGAATGTTTATCACACAGTAACAAAAAAATATAAACAGATGCCTGGTCATCTAGCAACACCCAACATCCTCAACCTTAAACCAATCCTCCTGCCTCAGCCTCCTGGGGTCTGAGTCACCACATCTGGCTGCAAGTCCCTGTGTTCACAACACTCACTCAAGAGCTGACACAGAAGAGCATAAACATGAAAGTCACTGATCATGGTTAGATTTTCATGACTGACTCAAAAGTAACAAAAGTGGGAGCCTTTAGGGAACAAAGGTCCTTTCTAACCCGGATCTGAAACCGGAGAATACGGAGAAATGTTGTTACTTGTTTTTCTTTTCTTTTTTTTTTTTAAATAGAACTAAGAGTAAATCCCGAGACAGCTTTATATTGTGCAAAGTTATTAATCTATATTATTATATTAATCTTTTTTCCATGATAATAAATATGACTAAGCTCTAGAAGGTGCTGTAAGCTTGCAGCCTTCTGTGTATGGGAAAAGGGAACATGAAGACAGCTCATCCCCAGTTTCTTGGAGTAAGAAAGAATGTAACGCCGGGCGGTGGTGGCGCACGCCTTTAATCCCAGCACTCGGGAGGCAGAGCCAGGCGGATCTCTGTGAGTTCGAGGCCAGCCTGGGCTACCAAGTGAGTTCCAGGAAAGGCGCAAAGCTACACAGAGAAACCCTGTCTTGAAAAACCAAAAAAAAAAAAAAAAGAAAGAATGTAACTTATTTTTTATTTTACAGCACCCACAGTTAAAAAACTTTGAATTTAAGGAGACTGGAATTTTACAGAGAATTTGGATATTTTAGAGAAGCTTGAACTTTGAGAGAGACTTTGAATATTTTAAAGAGAGTAAAATTTTCTAAAAAAATTTTACTTATATATTTTGTATGAGTGCTCTGCATGTATACTTGCATGCCAGAAGAGGGCATCAGATCCTATTACAGATGGTTGTGAGTCACCATGTGGTTGTTAGGAATTGAACTCAGGACCTAAGGAAGAACAGCCAGTGCCCTTAACCCATGAGCCATACCTCCAGCTCCTGTCTTTTGTTTTTGAGACAGGGTTTCTCTGTGTATCCTTGGCTGCTCTGGAATTCACTCTGTAGACCAAGCTGCCCTTGAGCTTGGAGATCTGCCTGCCTCTGCCTCCTGACAATTGGAATGAAAGGCATGTGCCACCACTGCCTAACGAGACTGGCTTTTTGTTGTTTTCAAAACAGGGTCTTTCTGTGCAACCCTGGCTGTCATGAACTCACTCTGTAGACCAGGCTGGCCTTGAACTCACAGAGATCACCTGCCTCTGCTTCCTGAGTGCTGGGATTAAAGCAGTGCAGCGCCACTGCCCATCGAAACTGAACTTCTAAAGTGTTTGAATTTTTTTTTTTTTTTTTTTTTTGGTTTTTCGAGACAGGGTTTCTCTGTGTAGCTTTGTGCCTTTCCTGGAACTCACTTGGTAGTCCAGGCTGGCCTCGAACTCACAGAGATCCGCCTGGCTCTGCCTCCCGAGTGCTGGGATTAAAGGCGTGCGCCACCACCGCCCGGCGTGTTTGAATTTTTTAAGACTGTGGGACTTTTAAAAGTTGGAATGTTTTATATTATGATTAATATTACATATATGAGATCCTGGGGATGAACAAGAAAGGAAAGGTTATAGTTTAACAGTGATGTGTTTGTGTGTGAAGCTGACAAGAGGTCAATTGTGCTAATTTTATGTCAACTTGACAGCTAGAGGCATTTGGGAGGAGGGAACCTCAACTGAGAAAATGCCCCCATCAGAGTGGCCTGTGGTTAAACCTGTGGTGCATTTTTTTTGAATGATGATTGATGTGGGAGGGCCAGCTAATTATAGGCAATGCCACTCTTAAGCTGGTGGTCCTGGGTGCTATAAGGAAGCAGACTGAGCAAACCATGAGGAGCAAGACAGTAAGAAGCGTTCCTCATGGCCTCTGCACTAGTTTCTCCCTCTAGGTTTCTACCTCAAGTTCTTGCCCTGACTTCCTTTAATAAAATGATGGACTACGATGTGGAACTGTAAGCTGAAATCAACAACTTTCCTGCACAAGTTGCTTTTGGTCATGATGTTTTATCACAACAAAAGAAATCCTAACTAAGACAGCCTTCAATGGAATTAGCATTTTCCCCCTAGACATAGCTAGATAAGACTATTTCATGTGTTGTGGGTAATTCACATGACTGTAGCACACAAGCTCACAATGAAAATACTGCTCAATATAAATTAATGCCAGACGTATAAGAAAATACTTTTGTTCCAGGACAGGAGAATATATCAGTAAATCACAGTTACTGCTTACAGGGAAAACCTCAAACCTGACATTGTATATGAGAATGAAAAATACATAATCTCTGAATGCTGGAATAATGTATGGTATTTCTCTGTCCGTTTGCACCTTCTAACTTTTTGGAAGAGACACATTATATTGTGCAGCTTCTACACACACAGGGAGAGCAGGAAGGTGTCATGGATTTGAGGGATACAGGGGGTGGAAGAATGGGGTGAGATAAACTGTGACAATATTAGTTAATATAGTTTAGAAGGCCAAACACAGGAAAACAATGAACTCACCAAAACATTACAGTGGGACGGGTCTGTAACTATAATTGTCAATCTAGTCAAAATTTTAATCGGTCTTGATTTTCCCTATAAACAAAGACACATCATTAAAAAAGATAAAACACAATTGAGTCATCCTTTTCACCAATGGAAAACAGTAAAAGTTACAGAGAAAAGATCAACAAAGCATGCTTTTCCACAGGAATTTGTAAGAGCAGAAGAAAATACTATGTGTATCTAGTAAACTACACGATGAGAAAATTTAACAGCCGTAGGACTTTTGGAAAGGAGGATGCCAAACAAGTACTGATGGACAGTAAGACACTGGTGAAGAGGTGAGCCCCGATGGAAAGGGGAAACTGGCCGAAGGCAGGTGCCGCTGAAGTTAGAGAACACCACAGAAGGTGCTGAATTACATGAACAGACACTACACTTAAACAATAAAACGCCTACCTGTACAATTGGTAAAGTTGTGAAGAGTTCAGAAACTGCTACTGGCTTTTCAATTTCCTACAACAAACGATAAACACTACTTCTAGTTACATGTTAAAGAACAAAGTACAACAAAACACTTTAAGGGCATCTCAGAAAAAAAAATCGAAGAAAGCTAATTTCTGGTATTCAAACTTACTAAATAGCTTTTTTCTTTCTTTTTTAAGGAAAGAAACTAAAGAACAGAGAAGCTGCTAAGGACATCAGAAAATAAAAATAAGAACCAATTTTGAAGACAGAAGTGACCTGTAAGATACAGTTGTTCACCTAAAAAGAAATATATATATTTGGGGCTGGGGATTTAGCTCAGTGGTAGAGCACTTGCCTAGCAAGCACAAGGCCCTGGGTTCGGTCCTCAGCTCTGAAAAAAAGACAAAAATATATATATAAAGAAGACAAATATATATATATATATTTGATAGTCTATTGAGGAAAAAAAAAGTCAGTTAATAAGACCATGGCAACAAAGGAAAAAACAAGATATTGTGGTTACAGTTCATTTAACAGCAATGTACTTGTAAACATCTTTGAATTTGTATGAATATATATTAGCTCAATTATTAATGTAAAAATAATAAGCACAGGATGTTTTAAAGAAATATAGCTGAGGATCGGGGATGCAGCTCAGTTGGTAGAAAGGTTGGAGATGCAATGTTGAGAGATATTTGATTATACTGTGTAAAGATATGTTACTGCGATTGGTTTAATAAAAAGCTAAGTAGGTGTAGGTGGGACTTCTGGACAGAGAGAGCTCTGGGAAGAAGAAAGGGAGAGTTGAGGATGCAGAGGAAGCAGGACATGCAGGAGGAGAAGTAAAAGCCACAAGCCATGTGGCAGCATGTAGATGAATAGAAATGGGTTAAGTTACAAGAGCTAGCTAGAAACAAGCCTAAGCTAAAGCCAAACTTTCATAATTAATAATAAGTCTCCGTGTCATTATTTGAGAGCTGGCGATACAGAGAAAGAATCGCTACAATGCAGCTCAGCTGGTAGAGTGCTTTCTAAAATGCACACCCTTGGCTTCTAACTCAGCATCTCATAAATTGGGCATGGGCTTGTAATCTCAGCACTTGGAAGGCAGAGGCAGGAAGCCATCCTTGGCAACACAGTGAGTTCCAGACCAGATTGGGAAGTATAAGACCCTGTCTCAAAAAAAGAAGTATGCACCGGGCGGTGGTGGCGCACACCTTTAATCCCAGCACTTGGGAGGCAGAGGCAGGCGGATCTCTGTGAGTTTGAGGCCAGCCTGGGCTACACAGTGAGTTTGACACTGAGAAACCCTGTCTCGAAAAACTGAAGGGGGCGGGGGGTGGTAAGAAGCATGCTTGTGATGACTTATCCTTCACTGCCAATTTGACTGGATTTAGAAACGATGATGGAAACACATCTCTGTATTTCTATAATGGTGTTTCCATAAAGAATTAACCCAGGAGGGAAGACCCACCCTGAATGTGAGCTGTGCTATTTCATGGGTTGTGGTCCTGAGCGAACTAACTAAAAAGGAGAACCTGACTGAGGAGAAGCTATGACCAGCCACTTCTTGCTCCGCTGCCATGATGGACTGTACCTTCAAAGTATAAGCAAAATACACACCTCCATCCTTACGCTGCTTTTGTCAAGTATGTGGTCGTAGCAACAAGACAAGTAACTAACACTTATTTCTAGTTCCACATTGCCAACACAGACACAAACATTTGTAAATTCTTAATATTTATTAACTAATTAATCCGAGAAATCTTATTTTACCTGTTTCTTTTCTTTAAAGTCAACAATATGATTGATGGCAACAACTGAATATCCAACTGAAAAAAAAATAGATTAATTAAAAAATATTCTTTCTTGTTCATAATGATCCTCCCGATCTTAGATTCAAGAGTATGAAATGAGGTTGGGGATGCAGCTAAGTACCAGAACGATTGCTTAGCATACACAAAGCCCTGGGTTCTGTTCCCAGACCTGGAAAATAAGGGGGTGGGGCAGGGGGCAAATCTAAGCGCATTTCCTGATACTTAACGTTAGGTTTCAGGTTCTACATCTGTCAAGTGATGTTAACAGCAGACAGTACTTTCAAGTGTCATGGAAATTAAGTGAAATAGCTCTTGCATTTTAGAAGAGTGCCAGGCACACATTTAGGCTGTGATTCATGCTAACACAATACTAAAAACGCCTTGCTTCTGCTTTCCAGACAACATTCCCAGGATTTCCTGTCCCTTTGTTCATTTTTATTCCATCAAATTTATGTGTCTGTTGCCTTCACTATCTTCTTCTGCAAGGCTCCTTCGGTTTCCTCCCTTTCCTAAGGCGCAATGGAGGGATGACTCCCTTATACCTCTTTTGAGGTGCTCTACAGTAAGAGACAGGGAACACTAGAGGTTTGCCTCATCACCACAACAGTGAGCACCGTTTGGACAAGCGTCTATGTCTCTAGTCCATCTAAATCACAACTCCTGTCTTTAAGTTGTCTAAATACTAACAAGGTGACAGGGTATTAATATTAAAAGATAATGCATGGTAATGACAAAATAGCGGTCTTTCCTCTTATCTCTTACTCCAATAACTCCCTAGTTTCCTTCCTGTCGAAGGTATTTGAGCATCCACTATCTGACAGGCCCTATGCCAGGGGAGAGAGAGCACACATGATTAATGCTCATCCTCAGGGAATTTTCAATGCACGAGAGAAATAAGGTAACACCCTCCCCATTCTCTAAGCTTCCACAGCAGTTCCTGCCTATGACCCAGCTTTTGTATTTGACAGATGTCGTGTGCGTCAAAAAGGACTGATATTTAAAAGCACCGGCTTAGGGGACTGTACACCTGGAGTCCAGTCCCAGTTTCTACCATTCATCAGCTTGCAGGCCCGATGCCAACCTCTCGACCCCTCTGGCCTCGGTTCTCTCCCTCTGCATGAAAGACTGGGCAAGCCCAGGCAACAACAGCTTCCTCAAGAGCCTCTGAGTTTCCCACGCCAGGGATCCGGGCAACACTGCAGCTTTCATCTGCCCCTAGGGAAATCAGGCGGACTGAACGAGAGACCGGAACGGCACCTGGAAAAACTACCAAGCAAACTGGACGGTATGGGTGGCAGCGAGGGGCAGGGCTCGCAGCGCGAAGCCAGGCGACTCACGGTGAGCGGCGGTCTCCACCAGTCCGCGCAGAGCCTTCAGGTCCGAGCCCGCTCTTAGGTCCAAATCTGCGAACACCGCCATGCTGACGGCCCAGGAGCACCCGCGCGCCTGTGTGCGACGCCGCCGTGTTGCTCCTAGAGCATGCTGGGAGTTGTAGGCTGTCACTTGGGCATCCTGGGATTTGTGGTTTTTCCTTCTCAAGTCTCTAGGAGACTTCCCTATCCTCTAGGAAACAGCCAAAGTTAGTGTGCTCAAATCTACAGCTTCATTTTTGTTGAGATTTGAACCATTATGTTTGGTAGACTCGGCAGGGGCTCCCTCATGATACTACCACACAACAATGTAGAAAGTGATACATTTCGAACACAACCGTGGAGCATTCTGAGATCAAGCAGACATCTAAGGTCTTGAAGTCCCGTTTGAAGAGCTGGGAGAGCCTGGTGTGGTGATGCACGCCTTCAATCTCAGCTCTTGGAAGGTTGAGGAGACTTTGTGAGTTCGAGGCCATCCTGATCTACACGGTGAGTTCCAGGACAGTGCGTTACATAGTCTCCAGAGTAGATGAATTGTGACATAAATGAAGAGACAGGGGAATTTTTTTTTTCCCGTTCTCTAATATTCTTTCCATTCTTTCAAAAGTGCTTGCTCTGGGACTAAGTCTAAGATAACGGCTGTCTGTTACAGCCAACATCTACAACCACAAGATGGCAGGGTGCTCTCAAAGATGAACGCCTAGCGCCAGCATTCTTTTAGCCCAGAGGTTTGATAGGAAGGAGCAAAAATGAACACTTTTTTTTTGTTTACAAATTTTCATGAGAAATATACAAATATTACTTGATGTTTCAACTTTAAAAATTAACTCTTGAGTATTGACAGGTCAATTATCCGACAACATAAAATACTGGCTTGATTTTCAATCTACTTGATGCAGAAGGCCAGTCCTTGACTCCTTTTTGTTCAGTCTCTAGTTGGCCAGCATTAGAATCCTTTATGCATTACCAATAAGCAGCTCCAGCCTCGTATAGCTCATTAATATGATATCTGAATTGCTGGATTCTCAAATAAGAAAAGTCCACTGATCAGGAACTTGTCCATCAGGACCATAACAAAGTGCTGAAAATGTTTAGAAACATTTTCAATTTCTGTACTGATCACAAACAGTATGCGGTCTTCCCCCTCTGATCATACTTTAAGTAATACTCCTCAACATAATGGTCTCTAGTTTCTTACTGATTTCAGAAAGACTATTATTATTATTATTATTATTATTATTATTATTTCGAAGCAGGGTATTTTCAGTAGCCTAGGGTGGGCTCAAATTCACAATCTTCTTGCCTCAGCATCCTGGGTGTTGGGATTACAGCTGTACACTGCCACACCTAGCTTTGGTTACTTTATATAAAGGAAAAATATTTGGTTGTTTCCAATACTTGATATTTCCCCCAAACAAAACGACAACAAAACAACTTCTGCTTTTCACCAGAATGTCTAGTGCTAACTTTTGTAGGCATAGAGAGGCATCTTCATGATCGAAAAAATCTAGATTGGTTAGTAGTATGGCCACTGTGTAGTGGACCTAGTTAAGATTAAAAATTTTAATTATTTGATGCTAAGATTAGGTTGAAGAGGACATATTTGTTTTAAAGTCATGGTGATGTTGCTGTGGACTTCACCATTTAAAATCTCTTTGCTCTATACCCTGAGCTTAATTGAAGAGGAAAAGAAAGAGTGAGAAATAAATGAACAGATAAAAATCATTGAGCACTATAATGAGGCAGACCATTGTATTGTTTTTAAGTATTGTTTTTTAAAAACCAATACCCACTTTTTTGACATTTGAGCAACTGAAGGCTTAGGCAATATAATGGTGGACTGAAGCATTTTGGCCCAGTTGCTGCCTAGTATATTGTCTCCTGAGAAAAGCAAGCCGAGAGGACAGTTGTGGCTGGCAGGTGAAGGTAAGAAGAGGAAAAGAAAGAAAGGAGGTCAAGGAAGGAGTGAGGAAGCAGGGAGTGGGAAGGAAGGAAAAGGAGACAGAGGAGGAGGCAGGATTGGGAAGATAGGAAAGGATGGGATAGGGAAATGATAGGGCATAAAATGTCAGATGTCAGCCTGGGTGGGTGGCAGAGGCTGCAAGATGTAAAGTTTGAAGAAAGCATTACAAAGTCCTGAATGGAACACAACTGTACTGTATGCTTGCTGCTTTAATTCTCAAAAGATGTCCACAGGGTGGTGATGGTGGTGACGGTGGTGATGGTGTGGTGATGATGATGGTGGTGGTAGTGGTGGTGCTGTAATGATGGTGGTGGTAGTGATGGTGGTGTGTTGATGGTGGTTCTTGTTATCTTGGGCTTTAGAATAGTGGCTATTAAATAAACATCTCTTCCATAGTGGAACTTGTTGTCAGGTCCAAAAGAAACAGGGAACAAATAGCTAATTGTGATGCCTACTAGCATACCAATGTGCATGCTGGCCTCCAGACTGTCTCAGTGTCTCAAGTACCAGTTACAGAGTCCATATTGGCATCCTGGCTCTTCTCACCCTGCCCTCTACTCAAGACTCATCCAGCTCACAGGCTTCCTTCCCTGTGATAGTGAATAACATGTTCAGAATTTGAACACTATTGTACTTAAAGAATCCATGAGAAAATTGCTTCAGCTTGTAAGCTGCTAGTTTGTGAAATGTACCGTGAGTGAACTTGCTCAAGATAGATAACTTCTGGGAATGGAATAGTTGAGTTAATCTTAAGAAACTGTCTATCCTAGCAAATTTTACTGCCTCTGCTGTTCTTGCAAGACAATGGGTCCTGGGACTAATTGATAATTTTGCTTCTGTAAAAACTGTTCTCTTGCTGGAGATAACTGAGACATCTACGGGATGTCTATTGTCAAAGTTAGGCACCCCAGGATGTGAGATAATTCGACCCTCCAAGAACTGTAACTTGGTAACTTTGTGGTTTCTGCCCTTATAAGCCTAGGGCGAATATGACTAGGTGCTGCATTTTGAGAATCCTGAATCTAAAGATGCAGACCTGGCACCAGTATTTAATAAAGCCTCTTATTTGTTAGAATTTATTCATGGTCACTGTGAATCTCTGAGTGATCCCAAACCCTTAACACTCTTCACCCAGAGAGTTCATATATACCCCTGCCATTTTGGCCATATGCTCTCTTTGCTCCCCTTTGACCCCTCTCTCTTGGCACTCTCTCCTCTCGTTCCCTCCGCATCCCATCCTCCTTTTCCTCTCATGGCCTGGTTCAGTCTGCTGGCCATGTTTCTGTACGACTTTCTCTCGCTGCTCCGGACTCCTCCAGATGCCTCTGCTGTACTCTTCCCTCATATCTGCAATAAAACCCTTCTCAACCATACCTTGAAGCGGTCATTCCTCACTTCACACACTGAGAAGATGGGGTTTTGCATTCAAAGCAGCCTTTGGGCTCCTGTCAGTGCATCCAAAGACTTCTAAGTTTGGAGGAGGTAGGAAAAAATATTGGGGAGTCCCAGGAGACCCATCATATGATGTTTGGAAAGCCAGAGTTGCTTTTTGGGGTTCTTAGTTTCATCAATAAAAGAATTTAAGAATAGACACAAATAGGCTGGAGGACAAAGAATGGACTCAAGCCGAAACTCAGGACGATTTATTAGAATTTAAAAGGAGAACTCGAGGGCAGCCAAGCTGTAAATACATCACAGCTGCCTGTAAGGAAGAGGAGAATGGAAAAGAACAAAAGCGATTCTGCTTGGAATAAAGCAGCATGGAGGTCAGCCACCTGGTGGCAGGCTGGGAAGGCAAGCTTTAGAACAAAAGCTAGGAGGCACGGAGCGCTGGTTGGAGAGTTTTAAAGGCTCTAGCCGCGTAGAAATGGTTCCTGCATTGGGAGTTAGGCCTCAGAAAGGTGGGTAAATCCAGTCGAACCTCATGGAGGCTCAGATAGTAGAAACTGCCATAGTGGGTGAAGTTTTGGGCAAGAAAAAGCACATTAAACGGTGAACCTGCTTTCCTAGGGGTGGTTCCCTAGTCAGGTCCCAGATCAGGCAGGTTTTATTGACTCTTGAGAGAGTCAAGGGCATGTCTCCACCTAGAGGCAGACTCTGTTATCTACAGGGCTTCTTCTTACGAGTTCCTTCTCAGGGCCTCCTAACTTCCCATCTTTCCATCCTGCCTTAGTCTCACTTTAAAGCCAGTGTTGTCCAAAGACACGCGGGCTGAGGATGCAGGAAGAGCCAGGATTTCAATCTGAGTGCAAAGACCGGGAAAAAACTAATGTCCCAGCTCATGGTAGTGGAGGAACGCTCCACAAGGCGAGAGAGCTCTGTGTGCATAGGCTTCACCTTCAACAGACTGGATAAAGTCAGATCAGGGAGAGCAATCATTTGACTTAGTCTACTTACTAAAATGCAAACTCCATGGAGAAGCACACTCACAGCCTAAACTAGAATGGTGTCCTCCCCATCCACAGGTCAGTCAAATTGACCAAACCAAAGCGAAACAAAAAACAAACCAGCAAAGCAATGCTGCTCCACGTCACCTGCAAACAGCTGCTCAAACAACCCTTTTTATTTCAGGCAAGTTTACATGGGGCATTTATTAAGGCTAGAGGAGAGAGCAGATCCTAAACAAAGTAGCATTTATAAATGTAATACTTAGAAATCCTATTGTTTAGTATGTTGTGGTAAGAACTCAAAAGACAAGTCCCATTTAAAAAACAACAAAACCCCAAAGAAACCTAATTTACGTCTGGCATTTTTCATTGCTGCTCTTAAGTGACTAGATGCCCCAAATCTACTTGTATTTCTGAGAATTTTACTTTATGCTTGAGTTATGTGTAGCGATAACGCCCATGCTACCACCACCCGTTCACCATGTCTGAGCAAGGGGCTGTGAATCAAAGAACAGAGACAAGAGACAGCGTGTCATTCGCCTCAGCAGAATGCCGAATGCCGTTTATTGAAGGAGGGAGGAGGCCTTAAATACAGGCTTACAGCACAATGGGAGAACCCTGGAGGGCAGAAGTTCGCTACCAATGTTCTACATTTTTGCATCTAAGCTGTTTACACCAAATGCAGGATACAGGAACAAAGAACCTCGGGTGAGCGTTCAGGAAGAAGGAAACCAGCAGGGAATCAGCAT